TCTGTTCTGAAATTATCTATTCTGTAAAGCTGTAATGTGATTATTTCTGCTATAACTTATGTACGTTATTGGTTATTCTGTACAATCCTATCTGATCTGTGATTTGAAGCTTTATGATCTCTGATTTGAATTGGGATTTTGATATGACTTCAGTCTTTCGTATCCGATGTTTGATTTCTGATTGAGCTATTATTTGTTCTGTCTGTTATACGATTTCTGTACAATTGTTCGATTTATGTACGGATACTTTTCTTATACGTTTTCTGATGTGAGTTTCTGATGATTTTGATTGGTGATTGATGTCTTGCTGAGCTGTTAGCTCATCCTTGTTTTTTGCGTGGTTTTCAGGTTCTGGGAAAGGGAATGAGGTCTTGGACTAGATGTTCTGAGTCTGATCTGTGATTAGGTACTTGATACTTTTAATTTTTGTACAGTCATGCCTTTTCTGTTCTGTTCTGTTCTTTCTGTCTGAAGCCATGCACTGTATCTGTATATGTTTATTTTGAGGAAAGAAAAGATAGATGAACCATTCTGCATTCGGATGTTTATAGTAGCTCTGTGTTTTTCTGTCTGTTTAATACTTAGAAGAAAGTTCTGAAGCAAATTACAAAGCCAGATCCTGGATTTGTTGGCTCCGTCGCGGCCCGATGCGAGCGGGATCTGTCCCGGTCGGGTTGGGTCGTGACACTTGTTGAATTTGATTTATTAAACTTTCTCATTGTTATATTTTTATAACAAATCTTACCAAAATATTTAGTGGCTCATTACCATATAAACCGAGCTATTAGCAATAGTACTGTAATAACCCAAAATTCTTAAAATACATTTATTGGAAAAAAACATGAAAATTTGAATCCAGCATGAAGCGCTAGGAACCACCGCTCTGACATCGCAATCTCTGTTCTCTGGGTTCAACATGGTTCAACATGCAACACAATGATGTTAAGCCACGACACTAAGCAACGAATGATGTTTTTAATATGTTTAATATAAATGAAAGTATCATGTAGTAGAAATACAATTACCTTGATTTATTGATGCATAAGCTTTTAGAATTTAGTATAATTCTTGCTATGTAAAATTTAATTCATACATCTAAGTTATATTTAAATACGATAAATAATACTCATTCTATAAATCATGTTGTTATAAAATTGTTATTGATGTGTTGATTTATATAATATATGTTGTTTGTTTGTAAAAGCACATGCATTTTATGATTATTAGTAGGTCAGTAAAACCCTATTAGATTTTGACTAGCCGAGCCGACGGATCCTCCGATTGATGACTCTATTGAAAATCATTATATTTCCTTGGTTTGTTGTTTACCATCCTGATGATGGGTATTTGACAAATCAACTATAATTATATACATATACATGTATAAATATATTAATGGATATGAATTGAAAATAATGAATGACTTATAAGTCATTTTGAGTATGATGATACCTAGTGTGATTACATTTTTAAGCATTAAAATTATTTGGTATTAATAGTAGTTTGACATATATACTTATAGCACTAGCATACTTGAATATGTTATAGGAATCATCACATGTGATATTGTTATAGTGACATGTTGATCGCCACTCCAACTTGCTGATTAGTCATAATCCATGCCCTATTTTTTGCCATTTATGCTTTAATACATTAGAGCTACTTGCTAAATTTGTTTTGTCAAACTCACTCATTGTTACCTTTTTATAATAAATC